GAACTTATTGTGGCCTTTCTATACTTAAAGGGGGCTTATAAGAAAGACAAAGGCTTTTTACCAAGGCCTGTAGCGACAGGACAAGGGGAAACAGTTTTAAACTGACAGAGGGTAGATTTAGATCGGATATAAGGAAGAATTCTTTACTATGAGGGTGGTGAGACTCTGGAGCAGGTTCCCCAGAGAAGTTGTGGACACCCCGTCATTGGAAGTGTTCAAGGTCAGGTTGGATGGGACTTTGAGCAACCTAATCTAGTGAAAGATGCCCCTGCCCAAGGCAGGGGCAGGTTGGATGAGATGATCTTTAAAGGGCCCTTCCAACCCAAACCATTCTATGATAACTTCTCCCCAGGCTCCCTGGGGACCTGGTCCCAGACAGAAAGTGGCTGTGTTGCTGCCGTAGGGTGCTTTCCCATAGCTCAAATTCCAACTGCCCATCAGGTCTTCAGTCAGGCCAGCTGTCTGTATTTGGCACATGCAGCCACTGAGCAGCAGGGGGAAGAGACAGAAAGGCAGCAACACTGAGCTACAAAGGGCATTAGCTAAGGGGAATGGGGAGGACATGAGGCATAAATTAAGCCTGCTGTGTGAGACCCATCAGACCTCCATTCTTATGTCAGCCACTTATTTATTAGGTGACTGTCACATGTGGAAAGTGTGAAAAGCTCAACCAGTATCTTCATTTATCAAGCAAACAAAATTTCTAGAAGATGACTTCTCATAGAGCTCAAAGTACCTTAGAACCAAACAGTAAGCATTCTCGTTTTACAGACATGGCAGCCAAGTCAGCGATTGCTACAGGGGGGTCACATCATTAAAGAGGGCTGCCAATGGTTTCCCAGACATTTTTCCACTCTCTTGGTGAGTATTTATTCACATTATTTTCTTTCTTAGGAAAAGAAAAAAGTCTCCCAAAATAAGAACAACAACTAAAAATCTCTCATACAAGCAAACCATTTTGCATTTTTGTCCAAAAAATAACAACAGAAAATTCTTACTAACATATAACAAGGTTAATTCCAGAAGTAAGAACAGAATTTTCAGTTCCACTTCTGGTGCAAACACTAAGAAGTAATTTATGGTCTAGTAAGAACACGCAAAAGCAACTGTTGAAAGTTCTCTTATATTTTAATTATACATTTGACAGTCATTGGAGAGAATCTACATATTTACCATCTGCTTTTACAGCTGGAATAATATTCAGAAGACTAGCACAAGGTACATTATAGGCATTAAACTTAACAGAAATAGCAACAAGCAGTCATTAGTTGTGGGGGTTAATTTAATATAACCTCAAGTGTCATCTCTCTCCTATGTCAGGTTGACAAATGGAAGGCTCTAACCATATTAAGTGGGTGTTTTAAACTGATGTGCTGCTGGAGGTAGTAACACAGAGGGGACTTAGCTACCCTATGTAGTAATATGTACCACTGAAGAGCTTTGCATTGTGGTTGTTACCACGCAAGGTAACTTCCCCCCCGCTGAAGTTAGCCTAACTTTAGCTATTGCTATCATGAATACAATCCCAGAGATAGCAACTGGGCATTTCAGCACTTTCTACTGACAAACAGGCACTTGCCAAGACCAGATCAATGATTGCACAAGAAGCAGCCCTTGCCCTCCATTCCTGGAACGGCATTCTGGAATGGCAGGGCACTCTGCAAATAAACAAGAAAGCCAGATATTGCAAGTCCTTTCTTAATCAAATTAAAATTAAATGATTTTTTCTCTCTCTTATGAATTTCTGGTCTGAGGTGGAAAGCAGCTGACAGGAGCAGCACGGGTGTCCTTATCTGCCCTATATGGCATGGTTACTTACTCATTACATTATTATTATTTTAAATTAGCGTAACTTCAGTGGCTATCAAGACACTTTATCTGAGACAGAAAATTCATTCTTGGGGGTAAGGTATGTTCCTTCAACCGCATGACAGGAAGAACAGAAGTCTAGAATGGCAATAACTCCCAAATGTGAACCAAATTCAACTTTTTTCATCACAAATGGGCTGACATACGAACATCAGCTCTTTGGAATGGCTGAAAAATTAAACATGAATGAACTACAACCTAGAAAGAACAAGGCTAAGCTATTTCCTACTGTTACTTCTTTCAGTGTGCCTATGTGAGCTGCTCAATTCTCTCTCTATCTTAAAAAGTTGAAGACCCTGTAATCTTACTGGAAAAAAGAGTCCACACAGTATTGTGCAGTGCTGTCACAACAGCTTTCATTTATAGCCAATTAAAAATAGAAATAAGCATTCAAAGCAGAGCCTATTTCTTTCCCACTTTTCTGTCTGCTTGCAGTTGTAAAGCATGCATATATAGATTTCCTCTGTAATTATTTCACAGCCCACCAACTGGTGTTCTATGAACTGCAGTGGTCTGTGGACCAGTAAACCTGGTACCATTCTGCTTCCCTGCTGGATAACCTAATCTACTTCTGTCACAATTTAAGAAGTCACAGAATTAAGACAGAGATACAATCAATTTTCCCTGAAGAGTTTTGTTTAATGTTTCTATAAATATGAACAAAGTGACTGAAGAGGAGCTCAAGTACGATAAAGATAAAACTCATCAGACTTCACACAGCAAAAATTGTGCATGTTCACACTTTCTACAGTTAGTCACCCTGGCTCAATTATGCGGACTAGAAGAACAAATAAAGATGGAGGGCTTCTTCACAGGATTTAGATAAAAATGCACAACCTCTGCAGTTAGCGTGCTCATACTACAGCAGCAAGCTTCAACAGCTGCTACTGTTACACAAAGTCATCTAGGTTTTCTTGCTGTGTGAGGGGGTTCTTGCTCTCGGGAAAACTTGCTGGACACGTCTTGGCTTATAGATGCTTGGATGTGAAGGAAAGTGAACCCTTTCCCATGCTACCATCTTGGGATCTCAAGTGATGCCTCAATAGCCTCTACTTTTGATGGAGAAAGGGGCAGGCCTTCCCTGAAACCCAGACATTTGGGCTGGGTTGGGATGACAGAAAGAAGAAGTCCTGCATGATGTATGGACCCATTGGAAGCATAAGGAGAGAGTCAATTTCCAAGCCACTAAGTCAGCTTCCAAGGGGAGAATCTGCAGAGCCCTGGCTTTCTGCTACTGGTCGCCAGAGGGCAATGCTAAAGTCAAAACAGGGTGCTAGTTTTGGATGAAGGATCCCCATATTATTTTCTGTCATTGCAGTCACCATGAACTTCTCTTAACTAAAAAAAAAAAATACTAGCCCATCAAAAAAGAGGGGATGCATAAAACCCTCAGCATGTCATTAAATAAGAATAAAAATGATTCACAGGCAGTGACTGTGAACCAGATTCAAGAGTGATACTGGCTTTGCAAGTTCTGCGAACACTCTTAATTCCCTATATTTCAGATGTAACTCACGGGTCAGTTCACATTATTCATAGTCCTAATGCAGACAAGGACTACACTTAATACAGCCTTTCTTTCTTGAATTCAAACTTTGGAGTTGATCTTTTAGCTCTTTTAGCTCTTGTTTTGTGCTAGCCATCAACTGCTGGCAAACAGCCCCTCTGTCTTCAAAAAGTAGGCCTCTGGTTCTGAAACAAAGTCAATCAGAAGCTAGCGGGTCCTCCTGCTCTATCTCCATACACAGCAATTAGAAATAAGCACTGTCAGCCAAGAAACTGTAAGAGAATGAGCTGTCTCTGTAGCAGCCTTTGGTTGACCAGCAACTGCATTGGATATCCAGCTAGGTGTATTTGTTCCAAGTGTGATGTTCCCCATCATTGTCCAAAGAAAAGAAAAAAAGGAGGTGGGCAAAATGAAAGCCTCTCCAAGTCAGTCTTCCAAGGGAAAGCATAAGCACGTCAGTAATGGGGACGTTAAAAAACAAATAGTAGCAAGTGTCCCATGCGGCACTGGTTGGGAAATAAGCCAGGCAATACAGTCATTGATACTGGCCAATCTCTAGTGCCTCTGGGTTACAGAATAATTCACAAGATGCTCCAAAAGCTCCTTGCCAACAGCTAAGTCTCTTGAATCCAAGAAGTGCCTTTGGCAAGCCAGTTTCCTGTGGAAGCAGCCAGCATCTAGAGAACCTCTCTTTTTCCAGCACATTTTAAATGAAAACAGTGCATGAATCACATCAAGGAGAAACGGCAAGTTGTTCTCCTCCACAACTGGTCTCAGAGCATACAGAAATTCTGTGTTCTAGTTGCAAGGTAAGAGATGAGAAAACCCTGCAATCTAGCTATAGATCAGGTGCAACACATATGCAGAGTTGGTATAAATGCCAGGGTAAAGATCAAGGACAATAGTAAAAATGGTGACTGTAAGACTTCTTAAGAGCCCTTTATCCCACCCCATGTATATGATACATGGCACAGAGAGAAAAGAGAATATGAAATGCATGGAAGAGGCTTACCGGGGACAAAAGGAAGCAACTGCCCCAACTCAGCTGAGCAGCCAGGGAGAAGCAGCAAACATTACACATTGTGAAGCACAACAGAGGGCCTTAGAAAGGAGATGCTGTGCCTCCCTACACCAAACTCCCAGGGGACCGGATCAGATGACTTCCAGAGGCCTCTTCCAACCTAAATTATTCTACTGTCCTGTGACTTTACAACTCTGTGATCATTGGAGCCCTTCTCCAGTAACTGGTGTGCAAAGGACCAGCGTTCTACAGACTGGGCTCCTTGCAGTGCCAGGGCACCTAACAATAACAACCGGTATCTCTCTTTAAAGATTGGGAATATACCATTTACAGAAAAAATCTGCTGTTTCCCATAGAATGTTTTCAAGGACCACAGCCCATTGCAAACCTAAGTCTCCAAATCACAGCAAGAATAAAAATGGGTTATGTATTGCTTTCATGGGCACTAGTCATAGGTTCTTCAGAGTTGTAAGTCTAAGGGGAAGCTGCTTCATCTGGTTTTTTTTGCTGGTTGTCTGTTCAATCAAAAGCAGCCATCCCAACCTATATAGTAGAAAAGCTAAGAGGAGTCCGGTAGGAATCTTAGTTCTTTCGGTACTGGCATTAAATGACTATGCTTCTTCCACTGTGGGAACTTCCTTTGTCCTGCAAGAGAAAATAAAAGATTCAGGAACAAGGAAGGATGAATGTAAATCATATGTCTTCCTACCTGCTCTGAGCACCATAACAAAACCATTCATACGTAGACATATCCCAGCTGGGACTAGAACTGCACTTGCGTCCAAAACTCAGAAGGGAAAATTGTAATGGGCAAAATACAGCCCTTTGAGAAGACTCCCACCTGGTAAAATTCTGCATGTATGTGATAAGGGACACGTAACATTTTTTTATTTAAAAAAACCTTCATTTATTAAGGCGGAATACGCTGTCTAACTTGGAGACTAGCAATTGGATATGAAGCTCTTCACACTTAGGTTGCTACCTGAAATCTAGTGCCAGTGTAAACTGACAAGATGACCTGTGAACAATAGCTGTTCACTGCCCATATAATGCATGCTCAGTTCTCAGGAGTCACAACAAGTGAGCCATCCTCTTCCACCTGGCCTGGAGGATCACACATTTCTCACCACTATAGCCACCCATGATCTTAAAGCCTATTTCATGTAGCTTTAGCTATCTTACCTGGATGCTTTCCCATATGAACCATCTTAAAAATATCACCAAGATACTATAAAACTTAGATGTTGGAGATCAATAATAAGAGAATCATGCACATGTTAAAAGAAATCAGAAGTAAACCAACACCACAGAGGGCTGAAGAGGGATACTGCTGCCTGCTCTGGAAGTGCTTTCTCCCTAGGCAGTGCCAGAACAGCCATTCTAACACCAACACATATGTAGAGACCCAAATGCCTCTAGATGGGGACAGAAGTGAGAGGGTATAAAATGTCACCCTTTGTGGGATGTGATGGGGACCTACTTTATTTGACTGCTCGCTTTGTCCCTGAACACACTACAGCCATGCAACACATGTCTGAAGGCAGGGAACTCAGCAGCCTTTTTATAACCAAGCTGCACAGGGCACCCAGTGCTCCTTGCCTTCCATTTGAAAGACAACAGACTGCAGGAGGTAACAAACATTCGCTCTCACTCCCCCAAACCCACCTCTTCCCTTAGGTGGGAAAGTAAAAAGGCAGCTGACTCACTGAGCGTGGCCCTGCACTGCCTTTGTGCTTCTTGTCCCGACCTGGGATGGCTTCTAAGGAGCAATAACTGGGGGGTTTATCTTCTGGCCATTCCCGAGACCGGTGCCGCCGCCTGTGGTTTGTTGCTGGGAGACGGACTTGCTCTTCTGAGGAGCCCCACGACCCCCGGCGAGAAGGGGGAGAGTAGCTGTGCCGCCGCTGACCTGAATTATTGCTCCTCCTGGTGTGGTGCTGGTAGTCTTGCCTCCCTGCAGGCTCCTGTCTCCAGCCATGGCTGGAGCGCTCCTTAGCCTCCTCCAGATAGAAACTGCAGCTGCTGCTGCTGCTCTTGCCCCTCTCAGCCTGGCGTGGTGGTGACACATCCCGTCTGGAGTGCTGGGGCCTGCCACTGTAGCCGCCTGTCCTCTGCCTCTGAGGATGGTCCTCTCGCTGCCTGTCCCAGGGCTCCCGACTGTAGCTGGAATGAGAATCCCCACTGGAAGGCAAGGGCCACCTCCGGTTTTCCCTCCTGTCCTCTGCTGCAGAGTCCCAGGATCTTGGGGTGCGGGCCACTCTCTGTGGCTGTGAGGAGTTGCTGCTCCCATGGATGGAGGAGACATGATCAGTGAGAGGAGGTGGCATGATCTCGGAGCCCAGGGAGGACAGCAAGGTGGGCTGTGCAGCCTGCCGCTGGTGGGAGGATGGCCGGAGCTGTGACATGTTAAGGTTTTGTATTTCAGACTCCAGATAGTCCAAAACACCCTTGTTAGGGAAAAGCTGAGCTTGTGGCTGCACCAGCGGAAGACTGTTCTGCAGAGACACGTCTAAGGATAAAAGCACAGGAGAACACAGGAAGTCAAGGGGAAACAATAAAGAGAGGGCCCTTCTGCACTAATGATCCTGGCTGAGTCCCTTTTGAGCCTCTCTTCTCCTGCTCCTCATCACTGCAAGAACCGCGTGAGTCTGAAGCACCACAACCAGCACATCCAGACCACACAAGGTAAGGTGCAAAGAGTAGTAACTAATAAGCTGCACCATGATCTGTGTTTTGGGCAGCACAGAGGTAAGAAATCAGTCATCCAGCACAGCACACCTAGAAATATGGTTTATGTGTTTAGAGAGAGGAACACTTTTTTCCTACAGCACTGATATAAAATTTTATTTTAAAAAAATCAGAGACAGTTCATAGTGTTTCTTCTTGTATCTCATTGAACTGGAAGAAATATGAACCAATACTGCAAAAGAAAAAGAGATTTTTATTTATATATATGCACACATACACACACACATGTATGTATAGATATAAGTAGCAAATGGAGAAGTTTCTTCGCTAGGAGACTGGGCCAGCTCTGGAACAGTTACCCAAAGAAGTCATGAAATCTCCATCCTTGCAGGTTTCCAAGACTCAGCTGGACAACGCCACAGCTAATGTGGCTGAGGTTGGTAACAGTTCTGCTTTGAGCAAGAGGTAGGACTAGATGACCTTAGAGGTCCCTTCTACCCAACATCTCTAAAAAGCTGACCTGAAACAAATTTAAGGGAACCTTAAGCACAGGAGATTCACGGACTGTGAAAACACAGGCTAAGAAACTGCCTGAGGAACTTACTTGCCCGTTTTCTGCCAGCATGCACATAGATTTCCTTGAGAAGACTCAGTGCATTCTGTCTTAAATCATGGTGGCTCAGTCACCAGATCTTCCTAAGGAAAACTGGTGCCCGGGCTAGGAAAAATGGTAACTATAGAATTAACTAGCGGGCTAAAAAATTATATACTTAAGCATCTTGAATCTAGCATTTAAGATCTTTGCAAACTATTTCTTCAAACAATAGGTAAGACTCATCAGACACAGAGTAAATCTGTGGCTGCTGTATAGTGATGAAAAGCTAATTTCAGATGAAAAATGTTATATTTATTTGAGAAGTCATTATGTTGAATTCCCCTATTTTCCTTGGCCGATTAAATAATATTACTGGTAATAAGTTATTTTATTACTTACTTCTCTAGGACTTCAGAGACTCCATCTTCCCTCCTCCATTAAAGTTACAAATAAATACCACTAATACAAGCGATTTTGGGGCAGAACTGGCAAATTCTTCCTGGTTCATTAAAGAGTCCCTCACTTTTTGCTGCATGTAGGCTAGATCTATTGCACAGAAGGCAGTTTGCCCTTAATCATTTGAAGACTAGACATTTGATAAGAACTCAAACAAATTGCACCTCAGTTGTCATGTCAGTTTTGGCTATAAGTAGTTGACCGTGACCAGCACAGCAGAACAAAGAGACAGTACCCTCCTCTACCACATGAAGCAAGATAAGCTGGGTATATTTACCCTGCAGTCGCTGGGGTGTAGCACAGATACACCTTAGTTAGCATTAAACTACTTCACCCAGCACTGAGCCTAGCAAGACACTTAAGATGGATAGGCTGTATTTATCCACCCAGGCAAGTCTATAGTACGCTGCAGGTAGAGCAGAGCTGTCATGCTAGGACATGCAGTCATGCTACAAACACATCTTTCTCTCTTTTGTAGTAGAGAGGCTAAAGCCTCACTGCTGAATGTCCCTGAAAAGTTACCTGTTTCTCATCCTGATTTCCCTCTGAAATGATGCCTGTGGTCTCACCTTGTTGCAGTAGAGGGTTCAGCTGGTAAGAGGAGAGTTGCGAGTTCCTGTCGCCACCCCTGTAGAACATGTTGGGTGACATCCAAGGTGCAAGTGCCTGAGCCTGCTTCATGAACCGATGCCGTTCCAGTACTGTAAAAGGAGAAGAAGAAAGCTTACAGCAGCTATCCAGAGAGCACAGCTTGCAGACCATGCACCATTTTGCTTGATAGACTGTAGCCTTTGGATGTCATCAGATATAGGAAATTCACAGAATGAAAAGCTCTCTCCACCCTATGACAAAGGTAAAACAGAGCACTGGAAATTCCAATATGAAGTTGCATAGCTTCAAAAAGATACCTTAAACAGAAGAAAAGGGTTACTGCCTGACATTCAGGGTCCGGTTTCAGCAATTGGGAACAAATGGCACTATGATTAAGTACACAGCACATAAGCAAATGCAAGACTTACACTTGCCCTGTCATTATGAGTACAGTTATGGAAAGGTGGGAAGTAAAGTTTCATACAGCAAGACATACCACACTGCTTTCTCTCTCTTAAAACTTCCAGCTCATCGTTGGTCCTTTCCCCTTTTGGCTTTGATTTACAGCTAAATGAGACCTTTTTTTGCCACCTTCATGTAGGCTCTGTCCAGATCATATTTTCCACACCATACTCCATCATTTCTTCTCTGTTCCACAGATAGGGCATTCAGAGATGCACTGTCCAGCTTCTCCCTTTCTAGTCTTTGGACCACTCTTGTTGTCTCTCTCCGTAATTTACCTCAGCATGACTGCTAAAATTAAATCCCTTAGGATAGTGTGGTCAAACTGGTGAACAAACTAAATTTCCTGTTCTCAACAGCGATGTCCGGTGTGCCAAAAGAGCAAGCTCAGTGGAGATTTCTCTCCCTCGCTGCTTTTCCACCACTGCTAACTCCAGACCCCTACTCGTGGGGTCAGGCTCCAATTCCACTTCACTTTTTTCACCGCTTCCATCTCACCTCCTCTACACAGACAACCTCACCATCCCTGTCTTCAAAACCATTGCTCATCGCTGCTTCTTTTTTGGGAATAGCTAAAAACATCTTACAGAAACTTACTCCTTCTGCCACAGACAATCAAAACTTAAGTTTATGAGCAAGTAAATTCTGCAAGTCCCAGACCTTACAAAGCCTGACTCTGCATGGTTTGTCTGTCATTACTGGGTGAAGCTTTTCTGCAACAGGGCCTTTGCAAAATTTCTCTTATATGGCTTCTCTGGAGTTTCAGAAGTGGCAGGCTTTTACTGCAGCCTCTTCTCTGGTCAGGCAGGAACAGAACGTTCCTGGCTATGCAGTTCAGGAGACAGATAGGAACGTAATTGCCTCTGAGACTTTTACCCCTCTGATAAATCTGGCTGAAGTTGGCTGATGAAATTAAAAGCTATTGGAGGGAAAGAAATAGGGGATAGACAGACAGATTGACTGCATAATCCTTGCTTAAGACACCAGGCTACAGCTAAGCTCCAATTAATTCTGTCCCCTGGATTCATCTGCAGCAGGCAGCATTTAGACTGCACGCTCTTTGGGACTGAGCTCTCCATTTCAGGTAGCACTCCAGTTATTAAACGTGTCCTCCTTTAGCTGTTTCACAGAATTTATACAGAGCACCACTTGCAGCAAAACAGGTACTGACCATGCCTCTCAATACATCCTTCCCTTTCCCCATGGTTCATGCAGCTCCACTTTGTTCTCCACTCCAAACTCTGTCCCCCTCCCCAGTCTGGCTCCAACCAGAGTGAACTACAAAGCTGGAAACTTCAGTGGTTTTAATCCTAATATTCTGATTTTTCTTCAAAGCTGTGTGGCCTGAGGTAGCAGCTTTCAAGCATTTTATATCAAACTTGCTTTGTTATTTTTTTTCCCAAGGGATTTTCCTCCAGTTTACATTTCAAACTTAGAGGAAAAGAGAAAGAAGAAAATTAAGAAGGATAAAAAGAAGGGAAAGGCCTTATCTCTTCCTCTCCCATTCCTCCAGTTATCACCTTGAGAATGTCCTAGAACCTGCTGAGTGCCTGTCCCCTGAGACCAGTCTTTGCCTGAGGAGTGAAAGGCCCAGCAGCTGTGGGCATACCTACTTAGGGTTCCCCTCCTTAGGGTATGAAGGCAGTCACTAGGACCAAAGTCACCCTGTCCCTGTAATTCTCTGATCTCTCCCTCCAGCTGAACAAATGCAGAATTACCCTTGGACTTCCTTCACTACATTCATCCTCTCTTTCTTCCCCAGATACTTTGCCTTCCAGTTTGAACCCGACATATACTTGGGTTCCCCACCTGCAAAATGGAAGTAAAGTTACAGATCTCTTTTTAAAGTGAATGTATTTATCTGAGGAGTGTCGGATTCACCCTAATGCCAAAACTCATACCTGCTATAAAACTTTGGCAGAATGTTGTGGTGTTCCCTCCACTTACTCCCTGCTGAGAAAGGTTGTTCTTCACCTTTGACAGACTTTATAGTTGCTGGGCCAATTATGCAATTATTAAAAAAAAAAAAGATTTCCAACCTAGTCAGACCCAGGTGCAAGTATATCCTATTTTGCACCAATTCATTAGTGGAAGAATAGCACAGTAGAAAAGGAACAAAAAAGAACAGAAGGAGGTCATACGTATATTTACCCCGATGGGCTTTTGTCAGAGCTTTCCATGTGGAATGTAATTGGCTTGCTCCTGGGGCATGTTTAATATTTCTGTACACCAATTCTGAATTACTCAAACAATGCACTTCTTTTATTACTAGTTTCAAAATCATGTTAGTTAAAACACCCAGAATTACCTTGCTTCAATGGCATCTGACTGTTCAGCAGATGTAGGCTACCCTCTAGTGGCCAATAATTGGGAAGAAATCACCGGTACTCAGCTCGCACTGCAACTGCTAAGACTGTTGAGAATTTCTGGCTTCTCTTCAGCTGTGTGGAACTGTTATTCCTTAGGACTGTTTTTTAAGATGCCCCCTCTATCTAACTTCCTGTGGTTTTTAAGGCCTCCAGTTCATTTCCTGGAGTCCAAAACAGTAAGTCAGAGGCAGGATGAAGTGAAGAGAAGGTGCACTAGAGGAGGGGAGCAGGCACAAGGATCCTTGCAAAGTGGATAAAGAGGCCAGGCAGCTGGGATGGAAATTACAGCCACAGAATCCAGCAGCCAGTCAAGGAGGCTGGATTCGTCTGTACCTTCCCTCATGAGCAGGGAGAGGTTTTGGGAACCCTGCAAGAATCCCTCCTACCTGTCCTCAACAGGAGGCAGGAAAGACAACAGCAGCAGTCTGGAGTGTGCTATCATCTCCCACAGCACAGAAAAACAAAGAACTCCTCACACATGTTCTAAATCCCTTTTCTGATGAGAACTAGGAAGTCTGGAGGTGTGAGTCTTTCATCTCCATCACCTTTCTCTCCCTTCATGGAAACTATTTTTTCTGCCAAACTTCCATAGCCTCCTCAACACCACACATTTTACTTGACAGCTTATAAAGCCCCCAGAGAGTTTTGTTTTATTTTGCTTTTAGCAAATGAGAGGGATGCTCTGTTCGCTCTTTGCAAGGGCTAAGCAAATTAAGCTTACGTCTGTGATGAGCAAGACTGGCAAACTGGTAACAATGGACAAGGAGAAGGCTGAGGTACTCAACAACTCTTTTGCCTCAGTCTTCACTGGCAATCTTTCTTCCCACACCTCTCAAGTGGATGGACTGCAAGGCAGGGACTGGGGGAGCAAAGTACTCCCACTGCAACAGAAGATCAGGTTTGTGACCACCTGAGGAACCCGAATATGCGTAAGTCTATGGGACCTGATGAAATGCATCCCAGAGTCCTGAGGGAATTGGCTGATGTAGTTGCCAAGCCACTCTCCATGATATGTGAAAAGTCATGGCAGTCAGGGTTGTTCAGCCTGGAAAAGAGAAGGCTCCAGGGAGACCTTATTGCAGCCTTTCAGTACTTAAAGGGGGCCTATAAGAAAGATGGGGACAAACTTTTTAGCAGGACCTAAACAAGGGGTCCTATCACAACCCGTTGTTGCGATAGGACAAGGGGTAATGGTTTTAAACTAAAAGAGGGTAGATTTAGACTAGATAAAAGGAAGAAATGTTTTACAATGAGGGTGGTGAAACCCTGGAACAGGTTGCCCAGAGAGGTAGTAGATGCCCCATCCCTGGAAACATTCAAGGTCAGGTTGGATGGGGCTCTGAGCAACCTGATCTAGTTGAAGCCGTCCCTGCTCACTGCAGGGGGGTTGGGCTGGATGACCTCAAAAGGCCTCTTCCAACCCAAACTATTCTGTGATTCTATGATTCTAAAACTCTCACAGTTTACTAACACCCAAGGTATACCAAATAGCTCTTTTGCAGGTAAAGGGAAACCAGAAACACAGCTCCTTCTTCATAAATCCTCTCCTTGTAGCATCTGGGGAAGAATCTGGTGATTTTAGTGATAAATAAATGTATCTGTTGCATTTTGTTCCTGTCAGATTGTGTAAACTGCAGGGGGGCTATTCCACATTGTGTCGCTACTAAGTTTCAGTTACAGGAACACAGAGGTTATATGACCTTAGTAACCAAAATCAAACACAGGCCTTATTAAGAGAACAGGGTCTGGCTGCAGAATCTTTATTACTCCTAAAAACTACGCACAACAAAGTTTCTCTTGACCCTCAAAACCTCAGAATGCATTTGCAGCATTGACCACCAAGACAGACCATCTTTCTCCTTTCTTTCTCCTCAGTTCCTTCCCCAAAGAAAAACAAACAAACCCTTTTTCTTGTGGAAGGAGCAGCTCTGAAAAGAACATGAAGATAGAAAATTCCAATTTTTATATAATTACGTTTCAGAGCAAGAGACTTGAAGGTTAGGCCAGTTTGGAGAGTAGTACCAAGGCATTTGCTTGCCTTCCTCACATGCACAGGCATATGAACTACGAGACATGGAAGAAAAGTCCTGAGCTACTCATACAAGGGAGCTGATTGTGCCCTGGATGACATGAGAGAAGGTGGTAGCAAGGTGTGAGTGAAGACTAAGTTCTGAAAGTAGGACACAGAGGAGAAAGATGGGCTCCATGTATCCTAGCTCCCCTCCTCTAAGTCAAATAAGCTGGTCACAGAGGTCACAATGGCCAAAGAAATGTCTCAGTCTATATGGACGCTAAACTGGAGGGAGAAAGTGGAGCTCAGCAAGCTCCCAGTCAAGCTTTTGTCTTGACAGAAGCCATGAATGCACGCACATTTGCTTAAACCTCACCTTTCTCGTTACAGCAGCACCGGGTTGGGCAGCAGACACATGGGATGTGGCAGCAGCAATACTGGGGGCAGCACTGGCACCAGCATACTCCAATCAACAGAAGGAGGAGGAGGCCACCAAGAACGATGAGGAGTACAGTGAGCCAGTCTATGGGAAAAATGGAGAGAGAAAGAGGATCCTGATGTACCTGGGCACAGTAAGTTACTGAGCACATCTCCACTGCTGGAGACATCTTGGGGTGGGGAGGAAGAGAACAGGAGGAGGTACCTGCCACCCAGGCAACAAACAACAGGCACTTACGGAGAACAATCAGCTTCACTTCTTTGTCCGCATCACCTGAGGTATCTCCTGGTGCTTCCACAGTGCAGTAGTACACACCATGGTCCCACCACATGACCTCACTGATGACAAGGTCTGCCCCTGTAGGAGAGGGACTGAGAGGTCAGTGGGCTATTTGGGACTGACAGACACTACTTTCAGGCCCCACTCTAAGAGGGCCCTCTGCCTGCAGGCGACATACAGTACTGCATCTCCCCTCTTCCCAAGCATAGCCATCACCTTCAAACAATCCCATTTGAGTTTATTGAGAACTCCTGTAAACAGCATCAACTGCCAGTCCCTTTTTTCTTTGTTGCTGTAAGGCAACTCTACTTAGAAGCAGGACTATTTCTGTGTGGAGTGAAATAACCAGCATGCTGCTGGGTGATGGATATTAACAGCTACCCACTGCTGCCAAC